GTAACTCTCCTCCCAATGAGCATACAATAGGTTGGTGTTCCTCTATGTTCCAACTGCACAGCCTTAGCTGCTACTCTAGCAAGAGGGAACAAAGAGCCTAATGGTCAGGTGGGGAAAGAGGGAAAAGGGTCATTTCAAAGTCACCGATTTTCATTCAAGAATGACTGTGGTAGATACGACAGAAAGCCCAGGACTCACTCAAGTGGATTGGTAGAATGAAAATTGGTATTCACTCTGTTGTATCTTTGGAAACTGCATAACAGCCCTTAATGTTGTGGGAAAGGCAACTCTTTCTTGGTTTAATTGAAATTGAATAAAAAGGAAAAGGGAGAAGTCATTGAAGCACAGAGGCGCATTAAACTACCCCCGTTTCAAATTCCTACTCCTGGAGAAAGGGTCCTATGCTTACCAGCGCATACATTTGGGGGAAAGGATGTTTTCCCCTAGCCTATGCTTCCAACATGAAATCTTTATTTCTAGAAGGCAGTTACATGATAAAGGAAACCAGCATAGAAATACCTCCTAATGGACTTCTCTTTAAATTTCACATCTGTGACTATTGACTATGCTACTGTGTCCAGAGAATAAGATGATTCAGGAAAGCTGAATGTGATGGACATTCAAGCCATGCCCACAGAACCAGCAGTAAAAAAATTTTGGATTTCACCATGGCTTCATGTATGCATTTTGTTCAGTATATTATTTCTCATCAGACTGAAATAGAAATTTATCTAAGTGATTAGAGGTCTAATACATTTCATAGTTCAGAAGCCAAATGAAAAATCTCCAAAAAGAACCTTCCTCTAATAGCTGTTCTTGGTTCTTTCTCCAAGAGTATTGTTTTCTTCTATTTAATATTTAACATTAAATAATGAAGTCAAATTATTGCCTGTCTGGCTGTTTCACACTGTTAATTTCATGCTTGCAATAACTGATATCTGCATGTTTTTTCCAGTCTTTAAAAAAAGGGAAAAGTGGGAAAAAATCTTCATGAAAAATTAACAGATATTTCTATATGAGACTAAATGAACATATTCATTTCAAAAATAGCTTGAAAATGTATGCTGATAGGCTTGGATATGTAGCTTTCAAATAGCCTTGCATGCAGTAACCTGTGGAGCCCTCAGATTTGTATCTAAAAAGGCTTGGTATCTAATAATATCAACAACAAAACACAGGTAGTTCTCATTTAGTGACTGCCTCAAACAGTGCCCATATGCAGTTATGAAAGTGATGAAAAAGTAACTTTGTGACCAATGCCCACATTCATAATCTTGGAGTGCTCTCTGTTGGTCATGTATTTGCCATTACAGTCAGTAGTACACATTGTCTTGTGTCTTTTTTTTTCTCCTTTTCCTCTTGCAGAATGGTGAGCTTGCCTGAACAAGATACTGTATTTATTCTTCAGCTGCTTTTCTCTGCCACTCAGTGCATTCCTAAAAAGTGCTAATTGCAAGTTAACAAGCTTAGTTCTATGACCTTAATTAGTTGATTAGAATCTATGGCAGGCAGCAACTATGCCTGAAACTGACAAGTTCCTAATCAGTTTCACATTAAAGACTTTTCTTTGCTTCCTAAGTGGCTCTCTTCAATGTGTGTTCCCCATTGTGTGTCTGCTTACTCTCTTGTATTATATTATATTTATATATATATTGTATTCAGGATGCACATTCCAAAGGAGGGGGAAGTCAGGAAAAAGGGCTATATTGCCCTTTTACCTGGGTTCTTCCTGAGTCAAGTTCTGGAAACCCACCCAGCTGTTTGAGGTTGTATTCTTCTGATGCTGTAAAGCAGAGATGGGGAACTATGGCCCTTTTATGACTTGTGGACTTCAACTTCCAGAATTAAAATCCCTGCTGGCTCAGGAATTCTGGGAGTTGAAATCCACAGGTCATAAAGGGGCTATAGTTTCCCACCCCTGTCCCTGAAGAAAGAGGAAAAAGCAAATTCAAATTCACATTTCTTTAAAATTAAATGGGATAGAAATTTACTGCAGATATTTCTACCAAAAATTGTGCTTGAATAGCTTACATAACATTATGATCAAAGCATCCAACAGGTTAAAACATACCTCAAAGCCTATCTAAATAATTTAAAAAAAACCTAATTTGATGAAGAAACTGCTTCCTTTGCTCCAAATTTTGGGAGTAGCCACTAAGATGACAACCTCTTCTAGTCCTGTTTGCTCATATTGAACAGAGATAAATGGTTTGCCAAGTAACCATGCTCTGTGTCATGAAGGGATTTATAGATAACCACCAGTGCCTTGAACTGTAGCCAGAAACAGTGCTATCCCTGAAAATGATCCCATGGCTTGACCTGAGGTGATATTCAGCCGGTTCGGATCAGTTTGCCCGCACCGATAGCGGAAATCGCAGGTGGGCCTGCCCCGCCTACCCACCCCGGTTCTATGCCATCCTATTTAGGCATGTTTTTGAGGCCGGGCACTTGCATGGAAGGTGCACATGCGAGAAAAGCACATGTGTGGAAGGCCAGGCGCATGTGCAAATCATGCATGCGTGTGCACGAAGCGAGTGCACGTGTGCGGGGAAAACCAGTAGTAACATAATGTGAAACCCATTGCTAGGCTTGACCCTGCCTAGCAAGGATCAAATCATCCTACACAGGAGTTGAACTCAACTTATTTTTACCCAGTAAAAGTGCTGTAATGTTTCCTATAAACAGCTTCAACCTGGTCAGGGTATTCTGGACTAGCAGAAGTTTGAAACACTGTTCAAAGACTGACTCATGTCCAGTGCATTAGAGTAGCCTAACAAGATAAAACTTAAGCCTATGAAACAATGGCCAGACCTGACCTCTCCAAAATGGGTATTTGTGTTCAAACATATTTGTATGCAAACATGTTGCTAGTGCCCAAATTTAAAGATCCAGATACAGGACTGAATGTTACAAGTATGTGCAAATAGAGAATTTGGGTATCCAAGAGGAATATAATCTCAACTAATCCTGCTTGAAACCCTGATCACTAATTTCCTGATTTATAAAACATTATTGGGCATGATACACTTTTCTACTCTACCTCATCTATTTCCAAAAAGATGGGAAAGGTAGAAAGAAAAGCTAAGGGTTTGTAGAAGTAAATATTTTCAAATATTCAGCTTGTTGATGTTAATATTGAATTGATAATGATAAGATAATTAGCAAGTACAGTACATAAATGTTTAGAGAAGCACCATGCAAAGACAGGACTCATTTAAAATCTGCCTTATAAAATGGATGAAAGAGATACACAGAATACCCACTAAGACATATGCAGAATACCCTCTAAAACAGGGTGAAATCCAGCAGGTTCTGACAGGTTCTGGAGAACTGGTAGCGGAAATTTTGAGCCGTTCAGATAACCAATAGTGGAAATTTTGAGTAGTTCGGAGAACTGGGGTGGGAATGAAGATTTTGCAATATCCTTCCTCCAGGAGTGGGGAGGGAATGGGGATTTTGCAGTATCCTTCCCCTGGAGTGAGGTGGGAATGGAGATTTTGCAGTATCCTTCCCCTGGAGTGGGGTGGGAATGGAGATTTTGCAGTAGCCATGCCCACCAAGCCACACCAGCCAAGCCACACCACGCCCACCAAGCCACGCCCACAGAACCGGTAGTAAAAAAAATTGGATTTCACCACTGCCTCTAAGATTACGCATGCTTTAAATCTGATTGGAAATAAGTGCTTTGGACATCACACAAGCACAATATCTCATTTATTGAAGTTCCAGTAAGGAGCACATTATTCCTTAAAGTAGCCACCACATCTTTCCTCAGGCTGACATAAAAGAAAGAGGAGCTGCCTTAATGAATGGCAGACAAACCTTTTTTCTGCCCAAAATCCAAAATATTGCTTCCTGATGGGCACTGCCTTAGCATCTATTACCATTCACATATTTAGTCCCTTCAGCACTTACGTATTTTGCCATTAACACATTCTGGATAATAAGGCAGCTATATAAATTTAGGTTTAGAATATAACTGTTTTGACAGAATATAAGTTAAAGTGGGCTATACATGTATCCAATTATCTTCTCTTCTGCTCATCATGCCATTCCATATTTCTCCTTCAGAATATGTTATGGACAAAACAGAACCAATGTCCCCACTGCTTGTTAACCCTGATTAGAAATTTAAAATGAACATTTCCAGGGGTGTTTTTTTTTTTAATTTAAGCTCATTTAAAGCACAATACAGACATAACAAAAAAGTAACTTTTCTTTCTACTGCCCTGATGCTAAGCAAACTTCCTTGGGAACGAACACTTTTATCATAGAGAAGAATAATCAAACACAAAATCATTAAAACGGACTCTGTAACTGTAAGCATGTGAAGCTAGCCTTCTTTTGATGAAATGTGGGGGAGGAAGGGAAGAATGGATAGTTAATCCAAAAATTTCCCAAGATGCACAGATGCGGATATTAAGCTGCATCAGTGGAGGGTTTCAATTTTTTTTACTACTGATTCTGTGGTTGTGGCTTGGTGGGCGTGGCATGGCTTGGTGGGCATGGCAGTGGAAGGATACTGTAAAATCTTCATTCCCTCCCTACTCCAGGGGAAGGTTACTGCAAAATCCTCATTTCCTCCCGATCAGCTGGGACTCAGGAGGCAGAGAATAGACGGGGGCGGGGCCAGTCAGAGATGGTATTTACCGGTTCTCCGAACTACTCAAAATTTCCACTATCGGTTCTCCAGAACTGGTCAGAACCTGCTGAAACCCACCTCTGAGCTGCATGCTGTTATGCCACCTCCTACTGCTTTCTGTATGGTTTGGCCCCTTTCCAGGTCTTTAACCCTGGACTTTGGCACAAAGATGTATTCCTATCGCTGATTCTGAAAAGTAAACTTAAAACCAAATTATGTTATGCTAAGAAATATAACCAAGGGCTGTACCTTGTACATTATAAGAGATTTGCTTTCCATTTAAATGTTGTCTTTAGCAATAGTAATTTAAATATGGAGAGTTTGAATATAGTTAAGTGTTCTCCTAGCAAGATCTTACCTGTACCTGTTGAACAATCTCTGTATCTTCTGTCTCTGATGCCTCAGCAGCAGCTTCAGGTTCTGGATTGGGAAGTAAAATTAAAAATTATTTTTATTGTTCCAAATATGAAACTAGATCCTAGATACACATGTCTAGATACACATGGCTAATATAGAGCCACATAATTTCTTTGATTTTCAGGTTTATTATTTTCCTCCATTTATGAGTTGAATCATGCAGTGATTCAGTATGATGGTTTATTTTATTTATTATTATTCATATTTCTATGCTGCCGACTCTCCGAGGACTCTGGGCAGCTTACACCAAAGACAGTATATTAAATAGCATATTGCCCCCAACAATCTGGGTCCTCATTTTATCCACCTTGGAAAGATGGAAGGCTGAGTCAATCTTGAGCCGGTGAGATTTGATCCACTGATCTGCTGAACTAGCAGTCAGCTGAAGTAGCTGCAGTACTGCACTCTAACCACTGTGCCACCTCGGTTCATATCATGATATCATATCATGGTTTATTTAAATGATCCTTCATAGGAAGTGTATTTTTTTTTTAGGTATTTACAATTATCTTTTCCAGGTCATCTGATGAATCAAGCATCAGATACTACCCTGTTGTACTGATTAGTGAAAAAAAAAAAAAAGAGAGAAGTAGAGAGGCTTTCATGGTTGAAAATAAGACATGGTTAGAGAAAGAGACTAAAGGGAATAAATTTTTACAACAAGAAAATTCTTAGTATGTTCACTTCTGATTCTACTGCTGGCACTATAAAGAACATCAAATACACATTGACTGTTAAGACTACAATCAATTATTCTAGACAGTTGTTGCCCTCTTGTGAAAAAATTATTCTTCAGTTCAGTGGTGGGTTTCAAAAATTTTTACTACTGGTTCTGTGGGTGTGGCTTGGTGGGCGTGGCAGGGAAAGGATACTGTAAAATCTCCATTCCCACCCCAATCCAAGGGAAGGTTCCTGCAAAATCTCCATTTCCTCCCAATCAGCTGGGATTTGGGAGGCAGAGAATAGATGGGGTTGGGGCCAGTCAGAATTTTTACTACCAGTTCTCCGAACTACTCAAAATTTCTGCTACTGGTTCTCCAGAACAGGTCAGAACCTGCTGAAACCTACCTCTGCTTCAGTTGTTTTAAATCACAATATTTTTTATTAAGACAATCATTTAAATTGGATATGGCATTTTCTAACTCATTAACTCATATAATACTCATACATATTCATTCACATTCAATTTAACTTTCCTCTAAACCCTGACATCGACCATTTACTGTTCGCATGAATGAAAAGAACTGAAGATAGTCACAAAGTAATTTTTACCAATAAGCAAATTTCAATGCTTGATTCAGTTTGAATAATTAAAATCAATACTGCGCAGTTAAATGTACTTTTAAAAGTGCACACTGATCAATAGTACAAGGATTGAAACATTTAGCTGACCTGCAAGAGATTGGCTGAAAAAAAAAAATCCCCAGAAGATGTAAGCACCAAACTGTATGATTTATAATTAATTTTTATACTGCTGACCATCATAATCTGATGGCAGTATTCCATAAAACAAAACAAAAAATCAGAATAAAACATACTGATATATCAATTAAAAATTAAATTAGAATTGTCAACAATTAGAAAACAGGTCACAAAAATGTATCTTGAATGCCTTTTTAAAATATTAGCAACCAGTTCTCTAATTTCATCAGGAATTGCATCCCCAAAATGAGCAGTGCAACAAAGATGCTACTGAGTGGGAAAAACTTTAGGCTTGCATTTAGATCTATGTACAATCTCTTTGCAGAATGCATTTCTAGTGAAAGTAATTTTTTATCAATTACAATAACTTTCCCATCAGTATTGAAAAAAACATGTTTTCCCCTATTTTGGGGAGGATTTCAAATTTTCTGCACATAGCTGCATATTTAACAAACTGTAGTACAACCACTTGGGGCAGGATTGCCTTCCTCCATGTCACACTCATGTCTTTTCACGTATGTTATATGTCATGACAACCTTGTTGATTATACATCCTAGTACCCCATACTAGAGGTAAGAATTCTAGAAAAAAACATATTGGACTCTATCATGAACATGGTCTCATCTTTCAAAGAAGTGTTGATATTCCTGGTTTTTCTTCGAGACCAGGTGTCCCCCACCTCCAGTCCGTGGCCCTATACCAGTCATGGCTTGCTACCAGCTACAGCTCATTGGGAACCGGGCTGCACAAATGGCTGGTGAGCTCACAAAACTCCATTTGTGCATAGCAACAGCACTTAGACTTATATACTGCTTTACAGTGCTTTACAGCTCTCTCTAAGCGGTTTACAGAGTCAGCATATTGCCCCCAACAATTTGGGTCCTCATTTAACCCACCTCGGAAGGATGGAAGGCTGAGTCAACCTTGAGCCGGTGAGATTTGAACTTGCATGCATGGAATTAGATTGCACATCCCCTCCTGCCCACGGGCGCTGCCACCACAGCCAGTCCACAGAGCCAGAAAGGTTGAAGATTGCTGATCTATACCATGAACTTCCAGAGTAAGAGAAGTCAATTCTACCTACAGTATGTGGGGCAAGAGCAAGTGACAAGGGCTGAAGGATAGAAGTGAATGATATAACTATTTTAGGAAGAAACCATTGTGGAATCTTTCTTGACTGGTACTGTAAGGCAGAAACAATATTGTAACAAGTATTCCTGTTTTTGGAATTCAGGAGTACGTATCTTTGCCTGCAATAAAAGAATATGTTCTTCTTTGGAAACCATTGTAATAATGAATACAGCAGAATCAAATACTTACACAATGAAGGTAATTTAAATTAACATGGAAGATCATATGTCTAAAGTTACTCTACTGATTATTTTAAAAATCCCCACTATTCCCACAACCATAAAATCTGAAGTATTTAATGATGGGGTAAAGAAGAGAGCTCTAGAGTAATATAAACAGGGATGCACCTGCTACAATTAGCTGGCTGATGACTTAAGCTACACTCAGTCCATATGTCATTTTCCCAGACTGTATTCCCAGCAGTAAGGAGCTTTTTAAAAAATCTTTCTATGCAGAAACATTTACACTGCAGCCAGTCTTAAAATGATAATGTCCGTGGAGTGTAGTATATTAAGCTAAAGAGATAAATCAATATGTTACTCTTTTCAACATATTGAATGATTTATTTCCTCCATTTCTATAGCCGTCCATCTAATCCGATTGATTCTGGGCAGCAAATCCAGTTTGTGTTACCAAGCTTCCCTTGGTTATCTAAGTAGCTATGGGGGGAAAAAATCAGAAAAGAGGATCTTGATCTGCCTTTTTCTCCTTCTAAAAGTATTAAAACTGTAGTATGGCAATACCTACCAAATTTGTGCATAGAGAAGCAACAATAAATATTATAGACATGGTTTGTGGGGTTGAAGAAAATTTACAGGAAGGATGATGACAATGATTTAATTTGCTTTGTGTTCCACTCCATTTAACCTGCTATTTTCAATATTCTTCTTAGGCTAACCTAGGTATGTACTCTATGGTACTGTATATACACACACATGCACAAATTTGGAAGACAAAGAATTTGTACTGGCGATTAATTTCACTTTCATTAGCCTAAATAGAAAATTGGATACATGTGCTCAAAGATATTTGAGTATTTTTTTCAATGTAAATGAAAACATAGCATTTAGCAGCTCAGAGGAAAGCAGTATGAATTGAGAACCATCAACATACGTTCTAAAGCATTCTTTTCAAGAAAATACTTGCACTAGATGTATTTCTATAGATGTTAAGACTGGGAAGAGTCAGTATTTGAAAATCAGTAATGAATTTTTAAAAACTGAACAAATGATAGCTCATGGAATGGTTAGCTTCTTTAAATGCCAGGGGCAAATCGAATACATAGAATACACACTTTCATCCTAAAACTAATTGACAGAGACTATAATGGCAATTGCAAGATAGCATATATCTCATTCCCTGATTAAGAAGTTCTAGGACAAAGCAATTCAAGAGCTAACAGCTCCTAGTTGTCAGTAGCACAGGTGCATTACAGTAGTGAAGGTATTGGGTGAGCTTAGTCCTATATCAGGCATAAAACAACTTGGGCCAGTCACACACATTCAATCCTATGCACTCTCAAACCTAGGAAAAAGACTAGATCAGGGGTGCCAAACTCATGTTGGCCATGCCTACCCCCATCTTAGTGAAGGGGGGGGGAGTCGCGATGTCACATGATGACAATGTGATGCCGCAAGTTTGACAGCCTTGGACTAGACAAACCATTAAAAAACACCGCTTGCCAAAAAAACTGCAAGGACTTGTCCAGGAAGTCACCAGGAGGCAAGACTGACAGGCACAAAAGTCTCAGGTGAGCTTCAGGTGGAAGGTTGAAAGTCTTTATAGGCCTGGTCAAAATGAAACTTGTTTCAAGGTAGATAAACTTTTTCAGTGATTCTTTTCTCTCCCTACCCCCAAGAGGTTTTTACTGTTCTTACAAATCACTTGCTGTAATTTCAGCAAATGAAGGTAGGAAGCCTATATGGACTATCATGGGAGTGTGGAGTTTAAGGGGAATAAATAAAATAAATAAATAAAATAGTTTTGTTTTGCAAAGTAAGATTTTATATTTTGAATAAATTAGTACTAATACTGATTGTTCTTCTTAGGATCCTTTATCCACGATTATCTTTAATATACTTATTTATATGTACAATGTATACAGCTATCCATCTCACACAATGACTATGGGCAGGAAGAAAAGAAAGAAGCAGCAGTCACCATCAAGGGTCTTACAAAAAAAAAAGCATTCCATTTTTAACCAATGGAAACCACACCAAACAAAACCAAACCATGTTGCTAATCATGTATAATCATGGGCGGTATAGAAATTCAATAAATAAATAAATAAATAAATAAATAAATAAATAAATAAATAAATAAACTGAGTTTTTCTTCTATTACTTTAATGTCTTTGCTACTGATGGCTTTGGAAAAATGCATGTGATGAGTTTTGGAAGCTATCTGGGAAGTACAGTTTAGCTAAGATCAGGAGCAGGGCCACACTAGTGATTTGTAACTTCAGACAGCCATTAAGGTGGACCAATATACAGTAACCTGTCTGCGTTGGTTGATTTACCACCATGGCAACAGCTTGATGCTCCTATAAATCACTACAGGAAGGGCCATATCAATCAATGATATTTATTTGGTCAATGACCAGCAACATTTAAAAGAACAAAACTAGACTGAAGCAAATAAACACATAAATGTACTAACAACTAGCAAAGTAAATTACAGAACATAACATTAACTCTTCTATTGCTATGTTAATATCATTGTTGCCCAGATGACGAATCTAAAACAATAACAGATGTAAAGTAAGAATAAAAACTAGATATTCACCAACAATCAGTTAAGATGTATTAAACCAAAAGTAATATTTAAAACAAAGGTACAAGTCTTTAATTATATCTTACTTCTACTATACCCACATAAAATTTAGCTATTATACTGCACACATAATGAATGGTTTTAAATCCTAAAGGAGAAGGTTCATGTAAAATGTATCTGGCCACCTAGGGAATTTATCTATTAGGGGCACAATGTAGATTGACCTAATGTCTCTATAAAATTTACACTGTAATAGTATATATAAGATGATTTCAACCTCCATATCAGGGATAGTTAAACTTTCGAAGCTTTTGGGTTCAAATGTTCTAAGTGCCATTACATATGGGGATGTCCAGACACAAAACACCACTTGATAGAAAGGGTGAAATAAAAAGTCCAGTACTTTTCTCCAAAAATATCATTAAAAAGCAAACAAAACCTGAAACATAAGGTCATTACTTTCAATCCTGCTGTTTGCTGCTCTAAGCAGCACTCATTTCAGTGACTCTACCTAAATCATTGTTATATAGTTGTCTCAAATGCATTTATTCCTCCAAATGGAAGCAGAAAGAAAGAATGCCAAAATCATTTCCCTCAAATCCATTACTCAGCTAGATACTGCTGATATATTATTTTAAAAATATAATTTTAAAAAAGTTCTGTTCAACTTTATATTCATCCTTTCATCATAATTTTCTCCTTCACCATTTCTTTTCCCTCTCCCACCTCTAACTGCACCTCAAGCAATTTTCCAGCTTTAGACAAAAACAGGATATCAATATAAAATCAAAGTGGAGAAAGATAAAATGCACTTGCCAATAGTAAGAGCCAAATAGGTACCGTATTTGGAGCAGTGAAACGGGATTGGGGAAACTCAGCTCTACCCTCATCCAGTGGTGGAATTCAGCCAGTTCGCACCACTTCGGGAGAACCGGTTGTTAGCTTTCTGAGCAGTTTAGCAAAGTGGTTGTTGAAAGAAATCATTAGGGCAGAGAACCGGTTGTTAAATTACTTGAATCCCACCACTGCCCTCATCCATTAACAACCCACCAATAAGTTGATACTTCTTGATAGGTTGTCAATGCAACAATGACAAATATACTGTTTTTTATTTTGTGTTGATGTTTGTTTTGCAAATTATCTCAGAAAGTATTTTAAGCTTTTTTTAAAAAAAGTAATGAAAATTGGCAAATTGCTATTATGACCCTTAAACCTTCTCCCTAAAAGGATTTTTTTTTTTTGTTTTTGCTGAAGCTTCAAAATTAATAGTGTTTATCCAGTGGAAAATAATCATGGGAAATTAATTTCACAGTGTCGTGTGAAATATATTGTATAATCTGGAGTGTGTGAATACAAAACTAACTTTCATCCAGAAGCTCAAAGCAGCATCTACAGCATTCCTTCCTCATATTGTTCTTCACAGGAAGAACTTTTGAGATAGCATTGGCTTTTTTTTTTTATACTTCCAATTAATAGAAATGTTGGCTTTAAATAAAAGGCTTAAAGATTTGTTAGTAACTGACATCACTTCCATGTACTGGTATCCACTTACCTTTCTTTATATGATGCACTTTCTGTTCTTCATCTGGAGGCTTTGGTGCTGGCCAAACTGATGGAGTTCTTCTTGGAAATCTTCCTTCCGTGTAATCTGATGAATGAGTGGGTTGATTGACTGCAGCCCAAGTATAAAGTTGATCTTGCTTTATTTACAAGACAGAAATAAAATACAAACATTATGCATTTTCAAAGCTATTATCTCTCGTCTGCTTTTAACAATGCAGTGCTGCTCCAAACTTTGTTTTCACATTTTACTTCATGAAACCTAAAATTGAATTTATTTTTTTAAAAAAAATCTTGAAAAATCGTGGCTCTATATTTGCTGAGTTATCAGTATTAAAAAGTCCACCTTTATATCTGCCTAATAAATAACATCAGAATATATAATTAAATATTTTAAGTCAATGTTTCTGGAGAACTCAGTTGTACAAACAAGATTATCTTGATCTTGTATGAAGAAAGACTTCAGGGGAATTATCCGTGAACAGGGTAGAGGACTTATATCTTAACATTTAAAACTAAATTATGTATATGAGCCAGCACACACTGAACTCAGAAGCAATTAAAGGAATTGCTTGTTTGTTGTTTGTTAGCCTAGTCAATTTAGTTCATAAACATGATGCCATCCTCATGTTGCTATGGAAAATATCTTGGGAATAGAAAATCTCAAACGAACTCTTTATTGACCTTTAAAAAGCATAAATTGTGTATAACAACTTTATTTTAGGATTTGACCAAATTTGATGGCATATTAGACTAAGTGTAATATTGGTCAGCTTGTTTGCTGAAGTTGCCATGATAAGATTTGTTAATTTAACTTACCAAAGCTGAAAACTGTAATTTATAAATTTATAAGTACTTTAAAAAGTATCGAAGCTGTAACAGTATTATTTCTGTAATAGCTTCTGAAAATGTGTTATATCCCAAGTACCTTGTGTATCACTGTAAAGGAAAGATCAGTAAATATACTATACACATTTATCTTAAAAAAAACCTCCCTTTATACAACCCTGTAGTCCCTATTTGGGATATTTTAAAGGATTTTATAAATTAATCTGGCGTTTGGAAAGAAATTATCTTTGAATAAATCTTTGAAATTCACATGATAGCCCATTTCTATTTTCCTTGTCCAGCAGCACTGACGGCTATTTGGAAATACTTTGTAAAACCTCTTTCATGCTCATGCGTACAAAAAGTTTTTGAAACAAAACCCAGCATAGCTGCTGCAAATAAAGCAAGAAAATGATCAATTCTTAATACAATATAGCAACATTACAGTTTTACGATATTAGCATATATATAGTCTTTCATCAGAAAAATTGAACATTTAACTATGAAATTTATATATTATGTCTTCCTTTCTGTTTTTATCTTGATAAATCAGATAGAAGTTTACCTTTGATACCCCTGTAGAAGTCATTTTGGTTTACAAGGAAAGAAAGTTCTTTATTGCTACTGTCAAATTACCGAATATATATATACTGTATATATGAACCATCCAGTTTTTCTTTAAAACTTTCAATATCAACAATAACACAATAATCGTAATAATACAAACTTTTCATTTGTTATTAAGCAGAGTAGCCTTACAAGTTAATTGCTCAGGAAACAGCTGCTTACAAAATGTATGTAATATATCCTCTTTCACAAGGATGTCAGCTTCTGGTTTAAAACTGCAGAGCTATCTTACAAGGGCGAGGCACCCAATTTGCCTGCAGAATCTGGAGAGTGCATCCAGTTTCTAATCAATACAGCTACTGCCTTCTCTCATTACATTCAACCAAACAGTTCTAATTTTCTCACAGATCTACCTCTATTCTAGTTTAAAAAACAGTTACTTCCTATTGATAGGAAATTACATTGTTAACTGCAATGTTATCAGTTAAAGCCGTAGAGTACTTACATTAAGAGCAAACCAGATGAGACCTCCAAGCTGAATTATAGGAATGCTATTATCTTGTTTGTTTCTATACTGACGTAGGCAGGCTCATCTTATTAATAAGTAAGTAGCAACTAAAATCTTACAGTGCAGTTCAGAGCAGATATTTTAACTCCTCACGCTCTCTGTTCACAACAGTTTCAGCTCTTGGAAAATCCCCAAACAAGGAAAATTTAAGAGTCACATGTGATGAAAATTGAATTAAATCAATTCACATTTAATCACTTGGAACAGTTGCAAGGAACTTACAGTGAATTTTAATCAGAGGAAGGAAGGAAGGAAGGAAGGAAGGGAGGGAGGGAGGGAGGGAGGGAGGGAGGGAAATAAAAAGTACTGGGAAATTAAAGGGCAGGTATTACCAGAAATTCTATTTTCTCTTCTTTTGCTTTGAAGTTTCTTGAATATTTTCCAGTTCTTTTTTTAATAATAAAAAGTGCCAGGGATAACAAAAGAACAATGACATTTCCAAAAAGCCTCCTTGGTTTTTAAAACATTTATTTTTGATTAACAGATAATGTTCTTACTGCAGTCATGTTCTTATTGCAAGCAATTGCAGATAAACCTTCAATGTCCATACCACTGATAATTTTCTTTCAGAACAATTTAGCAGTGCATCCTGCTGAAACGTATGTTTATTTCACAAAGCCTTCCCAAGATTTGTTTTGATACCTAGTACAAAGAATGTAAATTTTGAGAGTAGAATTAAGTTTTGCAAAATAAAGTTTCTCAGAATGTCCCTGCTTATCTCCAAAGTAAGAATATATTTCAAAACAAGATTAGAACAGAATCCCTAAATAGAGATGCACCAGCATTGGGGATGATGCTAAGCATGGTCTGGTGGTTTGACTTATCCAGAAAGTTCTCTTCTATGCTATTTGTGAGCAAAGAAAGACAAGAAAACAGACATGCTCTTATTGCAGTCATATTCTTATTGCAAGCAATTGGAGAGAAACCTTCAATGTCCATACCACTGATAGTTTCAGTGCTTTGCTCAATGTTCAGAAAAGTGGATACTGTTCCTTAGACATGAAATCTCTTCTCAGAGCCTGTCAGTGACTCAGTTGACAGGAAAACTGGGATGAGTCACTGGTTCCTGTCATTAAAATCCCATATTAGAAGGAGAATGACATGACTCACACGTGTGTCTCTCAGTTCTTGATGCAACATCTGAAATCTTGCTCGCTCTGGAAGGCTCACACAGATCTCCAAGGCAGGAATGCAGAATGTGAGTGCACCACATAGATACTGAGATTCAGGGAGCCTTTCAGCAAGAAATGTGTCTTCGTTTCACAGCAGATTATAGAATTTTGAGATGAACTAGACATAAAAATATGCACAGACTGCCCACAGACATCTGCTGCCAAACGTAATACCTTAAAAAGACTTGTCTGTGCCAGCTATGGATGGTTTTTGAGCTTGAATTCATGTGTCTGTTGGTGTGGAACTCCCAAAATGCAAAGATTAACATTTTTTTTTAATTTGATGTATATGCCGCCCTTCTCCGGAGACTCAGGGTGGCTAACAATGTGCTCAGCAATAGCCTTCATCCTTTTGTATATTTATACAAAGTCAGCTTATTGCCCCCACAACTGGGTCTTCAATTTACCTACCTTAGAAAGGATGGAAGGCTGAGTCAACCTTGAGCCTTGGCGAGATTCGAACCTGCAGTAATTGCAGGCAGCTGGTCTTAATAACCAGCTTAATAACAGGGTGCCTTAGACCAGTGTACTACCAAGGCTCTTGATTACTATACTGAGATTTTTCTGTGTGCATACAAACTCCTGTTCATAGGGCATTTTCTACAAATATGTCTTATTTTGGTTGCCAAGTTTTTTTCTTTCTGTTTTGTCAACTGAAAGTGTCAAGACTTCCTTTGCTGTCCTACTGAACTAAGGATGTGCGGATAAATTATTTTATTTATTTGGGTTTTGTCCTGTTAATTTCTTTCTTTCTTTCTTTGCTTGCTAGTATTCTATCTTGTCTTTCATTCAGGACCTTAGGGCAGAATATTAAAATGGTATTAAAAATAAACGATAGTTTAGGCTGTTGCTTGAAGCATTGTTTGGAGGTTTTTTTGCTGCAAATTCTGTTTTTCTTGAAATTTGGATTTTGAATGAAAGTTATCCATCTGCCTGTTGAGATATAGGCCTAGGATGGGAAAATGCCAACTGAAGGATTTAAAATGGGTTACTATGTACTTCTACATACTTCCATTATTTCCTATGGCCAAAAAGATTATTTTCTTTTAAAATATTATATTTTGCCAATTTTTGCCAATTGCCAATTTTGCCAAGGGCTAAAGACAAATACTCCAGTCTGCCTCTGACTAAATGCCTGAAAGAAAGCATTTTATATTTTACCTGAAAAAAACATATCTTTTCTAAGTATATCTTGAATTCAGTTTCTAAGCATATATGTTTCCTGTAGGCAGTCAGCCTGGTAAATAACATTGACATTTTCTTCCTACCAATTAACTGAATATGCTTTGTTAACCATTTAAAATAAAGACTAAAAGAAATATTTGCCATTAAAAAGCAATACTTTAACTTCTAATCAATCCAACTCTTCCATACCAGGATGCTCATTTATTAACCATTTTCAAGAGGTCTTGCGAATGCTTTGAGCATTCTACTTATAGCCTTGCTATGTTGATTTTTTACTTTTAAGTGTGTGTATGGGTCTAAAAAGTGGAATGAAGAGAAAGAGGAACAAAATATTCATACTTCTGATCTGTAGATGGCTTGTTTTTAAATGACTCTATGATATCTAATATGTTATAATAAAATTCAGTTGATGGATAGGCAGTGTGCAAGATGTTGCTGGAAAAGATATGGCAAGATACAATAGGTCTATTCTAAGGAACAATGGAATGAGTTATTTGCACAAAACAAAAATAAAAGCATATATTGATCTTTGGATAGTCTTGTTATACATATGCTTGAACAAAGAATATTACTGGGAACAGCTACCTGTATTCAGTAACAACAGAATTCCAAACTGAATAATATTAAATCATTGGTGATTTAAAGAGGAAGAGGAACTCAAAAGCTGATAAGATATGGTGACATGGTGAGCTGACAGAACCATTGAGAATCAGGCAACATACAAGTTTAATAAACTATTATTATAATAGCTTCTTCATTTTACATTACTTTGTCTATTTTATGGTGCGGTCAGTTCTTGTTTGCAAGCAAATGGTATTTCCTGCAGATATTCCAGTGAACCATTGTTGCTACTTTGTCATGCCATTGTTTGTAGTCAGTCTCTGTGATCTTCTTGCAACAGCTACTGTAATTAAATTGTCCTTTGTTTCTTCAGCTTCTTTTCAGATATTTATTTAGGTACCATAAATAAATAGAGGGTAGTACTGAATTCAGGGCGGTCTTCTACGGTCTAGATTGCCTCTATCATTCCATTTGTATTAACAGATGGCTCCGAAGTATATATCTGAGAATCTATGTTGTTAGTAAAATCAACTGATTGATGACAGAGCCTGGTCTTATACTACTGTTTTCCTACTATGACTTCCAAATCCACTACTAAACCTCATTTACTTGAATTAATGTCTAAAGAGACTTCTAAAAGGAATGCATCGAGAGGTACCACTAAAAAGTAATGCAAATAAGATGTGATAGTAACAGTTATGTCTGTAATCTTTGTTTTATAATTGTTTTTGTTGGTTTCATTTAATTAATACATTGAGTCATTAAGTAATTTACTAAATATAATTGAATGCATGGCCTAGGAACATGAAATAAAGCAGAAGAACAATTGATCAATATCTGCTGATATCTTGCTAACACAGTTTTCAAACAACCAAAACTATGATTTTATACAGAATCTACAGCAATCAGATTGACTATATTGTTGGTAGAAGGAAGGGGAAGAGTTCAATTATAACAGCTAAGAGGTGGTCAGGGGCTGACTATGGAGCAGATTATAAATTGCTCATGTGCAAACTCCAAGTAAAATTAAAGTAAAAAGAAAGCCAACCAGTTTCCATAATATGGTCTGGAGCATATACTACCATTTGCAAGGAAAACATTAGGGATTCACTTGAAATCCTGTATGTCAACAATGGTGAACCAGAAAAACTGTGGGATGAACTTAAAGAAATTTTATGAATATAAAAAAAGACTGCTGGGGGAAAAAAAAGAAAACAAATTGGATGTTAGAACAAACTGTAGAAATTGCCAAGAGGTGAAGCCCAAGACAAGAAAGATAAAGATCTTAGGAAAGAACTTAACAACAAAGTTCAGAAACCTATTAAAAGATACAAGTTACATGGCTATCCCTTCAAAGATCAGAATTGTGCAGGCAATGTGATACTCTATGGAGATGGAAATGGAACTCTGAAGAAGCAGGATAGAAACAGCATTCAAGCTTTTGAATGTTGTTATTGGAGAAAACTGCCAAGAATACCATGGATAACCAGGAAAACAAACAAATGGATCACTGAAGGAAATGGGTAATTGTGTTCTCATTTGGGGAACAAATGACTAGGCTCAAATTATCCTACTTTGGATACATTATACAAAGACTGACCTTCGTGGAAAACTCTAGAACGGTGGGGAAAAATGGGAAAAAAAGAGAAGACAACGATCAGTAGCAAGGCTGACAGATCCAAATGTTTAGTAGTGATGGGCACATTATATTGGAAGATATGAAGAACAGTTTGGGAGCAGAGCTTTCTGGAGAAAACCTATTTGGAGAAAACCCAGATAATCCTCAATTTAGGACTAGTAGTATTTAGTATTTAGTATTTAGACTAGTAGCATTTGCTTCACTATCATGACATTTGCTTAAAGACTGCTGCAAAAATTTCAAAAAAAAAAAATCAGGTTTGATCACGTGATGCCACGACTTACGACAATAACAACTTAGAACCGTAATTCCAGGATTGATTACAGTTGTAAGTCAAGAACAAGCTGTGCTGAAAAAGCCTACATTGGTTAAAAAATAGGAGTAGATTGCACAAAAAAAAATTTTTTTAAAGGACAGCATATCTTACAGACATTTAAATGACAACCTAAAATAAGTACCTTAAGAAATACTTAACAGAATGCAAACATAAAAGAGCAAACTATAACAAAAATCTCTGTTAAATGGAACCGAGTTTTTAAGCTATGGCTTACATCAAATGCTGGTGCACTTTGTTGTGCCTTCTGGCCACTTGATTCTCTGAAGCAGTCACTGAAGGGGAGCAAAAGACCCATTGCAATGATCCAAGAACAAAGCTTCTCTGCTTCTTCTTGGGGTGCATTCTCCTGCTGACTCGAGAGCTTTTCTAGCAGAGTTCGCCCTGGAAGAAAAAAAAAAGGTTAATGAGTTAAGGTTAGAGTCACCACCACCATCTGTGAAGCATCATAACCTGACAGGTACAAAATATTATCTAACTCTTCAGATACTACATGTGAATAAAACACCTCTTCAAATGCTTCTATTTGATAAGTATCAAACACCATCATTTCAATATCATTTAGATAACACCATGTTGGATTTGGATAGGCCATTTTGGTACCATAACTGCTACTCAGGGGTGGGATTCAAATTTTTTTACTACCGGTTCTGTGGGTGTGGCTTGGTGGGCATGGCATGGCATGGTGGTTGTGGCTTGATGGGTGTGGCAGGGGAAGGTTACTGTAAAATCCCCATTCCCTCTCCACTCCAGGGGAAGGTTACTGCAAAATCCCCATTTCCTCCCGATCAACTGGGATTCGGGAGGCAGAGAATAGATGGGGGCGGGGCCAGTCAGAGGTGGTATTTACCTGTTCTCCGAACTACTCAAAATTTCCACTACCGGTTTTCCAGAGCTGCTTAGAACCTGCTGGATGCCACCTCTCCTGCTACTGTCGAGCCTGCTACTTTAAGAGCATCAATTTTGGAAAGTTCAGTTATATCTCTTGCATGTGTCATGGGCACATGGAATTAGATTGGAGGAGTATATCAGCTACTTGTACAAGCTATTCCACAGCTTGCTCTGCTGTAGTTAAGGGCTCAGCAAATAGCATTGCCTTTTCATAACTTAATTAAATTGCTGCCACACAAACTTAATTTTTCATTATAAAGATAACTTCTTAAATGTAAAATAGCATTTAACCTATATAAGGAAAATACAGTGGCAATATGGAGGTATTGCAATAGAGGTGGGGCTGGGATGGGTTGGAGAGGACTCATTCAATTAACCTATAACCTACTGTTTATCTGGGAAGATTTATTGAAGCATCAAGCTTATTTACAGACAAACATTCCAAAAAGTTCTGCCTGGCAGTGAAATGTAAGGGAGGAAGAGAAAGAAATTGAGTATAATTATCACAAACTATTGCTGTACTTATAGGGGGAAACTTTCTTCTACTGGCCAGCTCCTTTCTGAGCTTTCCAAGCTCTTAAGAGTATGATTAGAAGTGAGAGGTTGTGTGATAGCAACAACCTACCGAAGGATGCTTTTCCTGCACTGAAATAGAATTCTGCCAGGATTTTAGCTCTTAATGAACTGGAACTGTTTACATTGATATATAATGATATATCTAACTTCATTACCCTTGGCCATCTTAACAAAAAGCAACATTTAAAAATATGTGTGCTTAAATAAATAAAGAGGAGATCTTTGACACAAAACCTGGTACATAAATAAGAAGCATAATGGTTTAGGTCTTGGGTCGTAAGAAGGCAGACCTAGGTTCTAATCCAACCGTAACCAGAAAGCTAAAAAAAATAAATAAATGAGGTGGTGACTGCAACAGTGCAATGAAAACTCCCACTTCCATTTTTTAAAAAATGTGCAGCTGCCCTGTATGGTTTTAGGCGAAGTGGTCCTCCACAAAACTCCCTCATAAGGCTCTTAAGAAAAAAAAAAAACAACCCAGAAGATCCTGCTATGCATATGTCCTTGAGCATCGTGTATAAAAGAATAGTATGTAAATCTAATAAATAAAAGTAAAGGTAGGTTTCAAAAGTGAGTTGTAGTGAGACATAAAGTATTAACTTATATGAACATTTTCAGTTGTAGAGAGGAACATGTGCACTAAACTAGAAACATATAAGTTGTCCTAATTTTGCTCCATGTAATTCTACATACACTTATTGTTAAATCTATTCTATTCTATTCCATATTTTAATTTAAACCTGTTCAAAAGTATATATACTTAAATATCCATATTATCCTTCAAACCTTGTCCCTGAAATATACTGTACAGCAGCCAACCCCAATTCTATTGGCGTTTGCAAAGCTATGAAGACCTGGCTCATCCAATGTACGTTATGTGAGCTCTGCTATGGGTATATGTGATTAATGATTTTGTGATTTTACTGAGCCTCGGTGTGGTTTTATCTGGTCTTTCTTGGTTTAGTGGAAGGCTTTGGTTTTACTTTGTTCACCACCCAAAGTTTCTTCTACTGTGCAGTTCGATGGTCATATATTATTAAATTAACTAATAAGTACTAAAATAAATATTTTCTTACAATATGCACATGTGTTGAAAGATTTTGAACAGCAAAATCTGACAAAGTTCTCTAACCCACCTACTAACCTAGGAAAAATGAATCAGATGTATTGGTTTAAAAGAGTAAAAAAGAAATGACATTCTTGAGCCTCCCCCTCAAGAAACATGACAGGGTTCCTGCTAACTCACCAGTCTGCCAATCTTTTTATAATTAAACCTCAATTTACCCAAATTCATCAAATGGATTAGTCAGCAGAAAGTTCAGTTTATGCTCACATGAGCACATAAACACAATATGGCAATAGTACCAGTGGTGGGTTGTCCCTGGTTCGGTCCGGTTCTTGCGAACCGTTAGTAAAACCGGGGGGAAGCTCCGCCCACCCACCCAGATGTCATCATAGACAATCTGCGCATGCTCAGAAGTTTCCTTTGTGAACCGGTAGTAAAGGTAAGTATAGTATAGTTTATTGAATAGCCCGAAGGCCTTTTCAAACAAAACAGAAAAGATAAAGGGAAAAAGATAAAACAGTTACAAAAATAGCAATCTAAAAATATATGATAGATGACATTAAAATTTTACCATATCAAATTTCAATAGCTAAGTTGCCAAGACTAGAAGACTAGATAACCCAAATAGGATAACTCCTCTCTAACTGAGCTCATCTTTCTTACAATCGATAAAATGTTCCTTGATATAACTGGCTCGTATTGCCGTCAACCTTTTAAGGTATCGAGTGATCGCTCTTACCAGGGGAGGAGAGTCAGCCCTCAACAGAAATGCTAATTTTTGGCTTATATTCCAGTGGGGTAAAGGTAAGTAGAACTCACCCCTGAATAGTACATAGAAAGTATCAAAAAGGTACAAGGAAACAGGAAAGGTACCTGGTCCAGGGAGCCTGCCAGCTTCTTAATACAAATGTTCTGAAGATGAGTTCTTACATCCCTTAGAACAAACAATGAATATTGTTTTATAGAATGGAAAAATTCCCGATAGCAGGAAAGAGGCTAATATAACATTAATATCTAAAGAGCGACAAGATTTGACTTTAATAAAAAACTATTGACCAGTGAAACTATTGACTTTACTGAATAATGATTATCAATTGTTTGCTATGCTACTGCGCTTAATGCTTATTCCTATTTATAGGCAACCCTGTAACAGAGTTCTTAGTTGACTCATACAAGAGAATATACATTTATAAGGACAATAAATCCTAAACCCATACTACAGAACTAACCTTGCCAAACACAATAGGGTTTATTTATAACCAAACATGCACAGGAGACATCATTAGTTACTCATTTGCTCTGAAATAATCAGCTGTCACATTCAAAGCTACCTAATGATTTTAGAAACACAAATTGTTCTAAACAGCTGCTTGAGATAAGTTTTTAAAAACAACAACAACATATAAATACCAGTGTATTTTCACTAGAACAAAATAAAAGAAGCAAATCAGACATTTTTGATTCTTCAAATAATTTAAACATATTGACCTATCAATTCAATGATTAAACTCTGCAGACCATTCTAAAGGACAAGAAGAAATAAATGAGCATTTTGTGACACACCAGTTGTTTTGCATTGTTTTTAAAATAGGTGAAGATGCAACACAACCTAATGAAAGATAAGTTCTGAGACTAATATTTTGCAATAAATTTAGCAGCAATTTATGAATGCTAGGGCATTTCTGTCATTTAAAAGGGTTGCTTCAGAAGTGAAACTTAAAATAGAATTTTAACCCTCTTGATAACCTCAGGAAGAAAAACAATAGAAAATCCAGTTTTGTCTGCTATAATAATATGGCCTGTCTCCCACTGCATTTATTTATTTATTGGTTCAATTTATATGCCGCCCTTCTCCGGAGACTCAGGGCGGCTTACAATGTGTTAAGCAATAGCCTTCATACTTTTGTATATACCTGCTTAGTAGGGCTTTCGGGGGCCCCAAGTGGTGTTCTTTTTATACAAAGTCAGCTTATTGCCCCCACAATCCGGGTCCTCATTTTACCTACCTCAAAATGATGGAAGGCTGAGTCAACCTTGAGCCTGGTGAGATTTGAACTTGCAGTAATTGCAGGCAGCTGGTGCTAGTTAACAGCACTTTAGTCTGCTGCGCCACCAAGGCTCTTGCATTATGTGCCCTATAAACATTTAGTATACATATGCTCATAAACTAAGCATAGCCCTTCCCTAGATGGAAGATTTCTTCTTCTCAATCTAGCAACAGACACACACATCCCTTAAATACATGGTTTGTGTACATAGTCAGACTCCTAAATGTGAAAAATAGGAACAGTACAAAAGAATGCTAGGATCTAGACACGTGCTTCTCCATCTCAGGAACTTTAAGATGTGGAGGACTCCACATCATTCCAGAATTAATCAGCCTCCTAGAATTCTGAGAGTTGAAGTTTTAAGAGTTGAACATCTGAAAGTTCCTGCGGTTGAGAAACACTACCATCTACCATCCTGTGTGGAAATTGCATCCCTACTATTATAAATTCAAATTTTAAAAAATTACATTTCTCAGCTAAAAAATATGTTCAAAGTCTATGTAATATAATCAACCTTTATAAAATTTCACATGAATAGCGGTATGTGGGTTTATATATATAAGCAAAAAACAAGGGATTTGCTTGAAAATTATATTATTAAAAATGGAACCGATTCCTGTAATTCTCCAGCACTATTATGAGAATGTCAAGCTGTGGAATGTCCTTAGGAAAATAGGAATCCCACAACATCTCATTGTCCTCAAGTAAAATCTATAGCTACAAGAAGCCAAAGCCTGTATGAAATAGACTGGTAGGCTAACAAGAGGGCGAGACAAGAGTTTCCCCTTATTTATTCAATTTAG